CGCCAGCGCTACAACGGCTTCCACTTCTGCGGCGGCTCCCTGATCAGTGAGACCTGGGTGGTCACCGCTGCCCACTGCGGCGTCAGGTAGGCACCGGCTCTGCTGCCGGCCGTCCCGGGGCTGGGCACGGGCACGGAGTGCCCAGGGAACCCCCTGTCCCCGCGCCGGCGCCCCGTGCTCAGCGCCTGCCTGTGTCCAGGAAAACCGACACCGTGGTGGTGGGCGCCTACGACCAGAGCGCACCCGGCCCCGAGCAGCAGAAGCTGAAAATCGAGAAGGTACCGTCGGGGCGGGGTCCGTGTGCTGCGGGGTCCCACAGCCACCACAGGGGGCCTGGGGRYTTATGTTCGGGTCCCCTGTGCCCGGGGTCCCCATTGGTCCCTGGGATCCCTTCTGGTCCCTGGGGATTGCCCAGTGCCCGGCACCCCGGCAGGGGGTGCAGGTGCTGAGAGCAGCGCTGCCCGCTCCAGGTCTTCAAGAACCCCAAGTTCAACATGCTGACCATCCACGACGACATCACCCTGATCAAACTGGCCACTCCGGCGCAGTTTTCGGACCGTGTGTCCCCCGTCTGCCTGCCCAAGGCCACTGATGAGTTCCCCGGGGGAATGACCTGTGTCACCACCGGCTGGGGGCTCACTGACTCCAGCGGTAACTGCCCTTTCTTGTGCCCATCCCCATTCCTGTCTCCTGCCTCATCCGAAKGCCTGTYCTCTTCCCCCTGTCTTCACTGTCCCCTTGCCCATCCMCCTTGTCAGCCCCTGTCCTCATCSGAATCATAACGCTCGTGCCAAMCTCCCATCCAGATACSCATCCCAGTCKGAATCTGAATCCCCATCCCATTCCCGTATCGCCATCCTCATCCCKGTCCCATTGCTCATGCCCATCACCAATCCCCGACTGTGACCCAATCGTGTCCCCATCTCCCCCTCATCCCGGTGCCGAGCTCCTCCGCCCGCTGTGCCCGTCCCAGTCCTTGTCCCCGTTCCCGCCCCGCTCCCGGTGCCGSTGCCGGCGCTGACGCTGCCTCGCTCCCCGCAGCCTCGCAGACCCCGGCGGTGCTGCAGCAGGTGGCTCTGCCCCTGCTCACCAACCCCCAGTGCAAGGAGTTCTGGGGCTTCCGCATCCGCGAGGTGATGGTGTGTGCCGGYGCCGACGGAGCCTCCTCCTGCATGGTACGTGTCCCCGGCCCCCGCTGCCCGCGCTGCCCGCGGCGCCCCCGGGCCCGTCCCGGCGCTCACCCGCTGCCCTGCGCAGGGCGACTCCGGGGGCCCGCTGGTGTGCCAGAAGGACGGCGCCTGGAACCTGGTGGGCATCGTCTCCTGGGGCAGCAGCACCTGCGACACCAACACTCCCGGCGTGTACGCCCGCGTCACCAAGCTCCGCGACTGGATCGACTCCATCCTGGAGGCCAACTGAGGCCAGCAATAAACGCTGCCACCCCCTCCCTGAGCACTGTGTCCTTGTCACCATGCCGGGACGGACGGGAGGGGGCACGGGGCGGGCGGGAGACACGCGGCTGGGGATGGGGGCACGTGGTGGGCTGGGGGCATTCTCTGGGCGTGACAACAGCGGTCTGCGAGGGCTGAGAAGCGTCGGGACACCTGGCTGGGAATGGGGACAGATGGACAGGGGCACATGGGAACTGCTGGCCCTGAATGGGGACACCTGGCTGGGCATGGCAACAGAGGGACAGGGGAGCATGGGGACATCTGCTGGGAATGGGGACAGATGGACAGAGGGACATGGTGACTCCTGGCTGSGAGRGGAGGAGCGTRGGGACTGTGGGRTCTGCCATGGGGTCACGGAGCCCTGACCAGCTGCGGGGACACTCGAGCGAGCGTGGGGACTCCTGGGAGGGCAGGGGCCATGGAGTGAGCGAGCTCAGGCAGRGGACAGSGCGGGGACACGAGCACAGGCKCCGGTGGGACCAGGCTGCCCCCGGCAGGGACGCACTCAGGTGTGGCTGGAGCCACCTTAAGGGGTCAGTGWGGGGGAGGGACAGACAGGCTGCGGGGCAGGGCCRTGTCCTGGCCCGGTGCAGTTCCCGTGTTCCCGGACGTTCTTGTCCCGTGGCGACATGGCCCTGCGGAGGGTGCTGGCGCTGGGRGCAGCCCTGGGGCGCCGCGGCTGCTGCTCCAAGGTGGGGTCGGGGCTCCCGGAGGTGTTCCCRTGTTCCCCGCGTGCCCTTGGCCCACGGCCGCGATCACACCCTCCCCACTGCATCCCTGACGGAAYCCTCCTCGTTRYCCCCAAAGCCCTCTCTGCCCCCCGACTTCGTGGAGACCCTGAGGAGCGTGGTTGGGGCCCCCAATGTCTCCACGGCCACAGCGGTGCGGGAGCAGCACGGCCACGATGAGTCCATGCACCCGTGAGTGCCCCCGGAGCTGGGAGCCCTGGGCAAGGGTCACACCTTTGGGTGGGGACGGCTCTGGGGAATGTTTGGGAGGACAGAGGGCCATGGGGAGGGGAATGYGAYGAGTGCTGGCTTTGGGAAGGGCCGCGGGSARCAACCGRGTCTTGGGGAGGKTTGTCAGTCGGTCAGTGGTGCTGTCTGTCCCCAGCTGTGCCCCCCCGGATGTCGTGGTGTGGCCCCAGGCMGTGGGGCAGGTGCAGGAGCTGGCAGCGCTCTGTCACCGCTGCCGCGTGCCCATGGTGCCCTTTGGCACYGGTACCGGCCTCGAAGGAGGCGTCAACGCCGTGCAGGTATYGGCTSCCCCGGCCCCTCTGAGCCCTCAGGGGCTCTCRGTGCCCGGCCGTGCCCACAGCCCTGGGTGCCCCTGTGCCAGGGCGGCGTCTGCTTCGACCTGAGCCGCATGGATGCTATCGCGGAGCTGAGCCTCGAGGACTTCTCGGTGACAGTGGAGCCTGGTGTCACCCGCAAGGCCCTCAACAAGCACCTGCGTGGCACYGGGCTCTGGTTCCCTGTCGGTACCGTGGGCATGAGGGGGGCCATGGGGCTGGGAGTGGCAGCACTGGAGATGCTGGGGGTGACTTTKGGAGCTTCTGATCATGGGTGTGCATAGGTGTGCTGTGGTCCCAGGGCAGTCGCAGAGGTGCCTCTAGGACTGAGTGTGCCATGGCTCCTCAGATTCTGGAAGGGATGTACAGATAGAATCATGAATGGTTGGTGTTGGGGGTACCATTCCCTGCCACACCAAGCCCACAGGGTCCATGCTGGCAAGGCACTGTGAGGAACATCCACTCGATGCTGGTTCAGAGACTGAGTGACCCCAGTCCCCTGCACTGCCACCCCTCCCTTCCCCCCAACCCCCCATTAAACCTCTGCACCAGCACTCTCCAAAGGTTAGGAAATCTTTTAGGACAACAGGATCTTCTGCTATCCCACGATCCGCCCTACTCCAGCAAGCACACGCAGATATCCAGGAGATGGGGGATGTTTCTAGGCAAATCTTTATGCTGCTGGAGGACTTGGGGCCAAGTTTTGGAGGGGGCTGCCACTTGGTAGCTCCGGGAACCAGCGGAAGCTGCCCCCGTGTTCAAAAGGCACCAGTTTTGGTTTGCGTTTCGGTTACAGCTGGTACTGTAGCATAACCCGAGACATGAGAATGCACAGCTTAGCCCCTTCCTGCCCCAGCAGCCCCCCACCACCCCTTACCCCCTGGGGACCCCTATCCCCAGCCTCCAGCACACAAGGGACAGTACAAMCCATCTCTGTCACACTGTCGCACCATTATAAGGGATGGCTTCCACACCATTAGACTTTCCTGGTCACTGTAGAATGCTCCAGAGTGAAATACAGAATTCCCCTGAGAGCAGAGCAGCCACCTCAAATTGAGCACCATCTCAAATTGAGCATCACCTCAAATTACCAGGCACATCCTTGTCTCAATAGGGACATGGCCCCATGCCCTCCAGGCCAGGACTGGCTGCSGGTTTTGCATGGAGAGGACAGTGGGGAAGGAGTGAGCATAGATCCACCTCCCAGCTTTGCTTCGTTTACAGGCATAGCTCTGAAACCATTCCTGGCCCCTGGCCAGAGGAAGAGGAAGGGCTATGATGGTTGCAGCTCCTCACCTCTGTCCCCACAGAGCCCCAATCCCCCAATGTGCGTGGGAGTCTCTATGTACATGTCTGCTTACACCAGGTGGAGAGGACTCGCACAGAAGGGGATGTGTGTCTGGGGAGGGGTGGGGGCCAGAGAGAAGGGACAGTGGCCCTGAGGCCATCACATGGCTGCCAGCTGGCCCAGCACCATCCTGAACTGCTGTGTGCTGTTGGCGAGGTCCTTGACGCGCTCCACCATGTCCTTGGAGGCGGAAGGAGATGGATAGTGGAGAGCAGCTGCCTTGGTGGTCATCACGATCTCCTTGAGCATCTCGCAGAGGAGGTTGCTGTAGTGCATCACTTTGTGCTGGACGTCCTGGGCCTTGGCCTGGCGGGACAGCGTGTCCCCAATGAACACGAGCTTGTGGGCRCTGAGGATGACAAACTTGCTGTGGGCCACGAAGATCTTGGGGGGCTGGTTGGTGCTGACGGCGGTGAAGAATGCGTCGACAGCATTGGTGAGCGTGGTGAGGTTGGCCTCACACTGCTCCAGGTAGAAGAGGAGGAGCTGGCGGTCAGCAGGACACAGTGTCCCACCGCCCCGTGCAGGGCTGTAGTGCTGGGGGGGGCTCCAGTTGGACAGGTCGTTRTCAATGGGGCGCGTCACCTCCTGCTCCAGCCGCTCAAATTGCTTCAGCTGTGGGAGAGACTGGTGTGAGGCAGGGCAGCCATTGGGCCAGCACCTGATTCCCTCCACGGAGCCACCAGCACAGGTGGCCATGGCCACCAGCCCCAGGGAACAGAGAGACAGCGCTTGCCCCAGGACAGCTGTGCCAGGCCTCTCTCCAGGGCCAAGGTGCCTATGCCCCTCTCCACTGGCAGAGCACAGGAAGGCAAGGCAGAATGCACCATGGGAAAAGGGCTGTGATCAGGCCAGCAGCAGAGGTTACAAGGCAAGCAGGACCTGGGGCCCTGCCTGCCCCGAGCACTGTGCCCAGCAGCACCCACCTGCCTGCCCCAGTRCCCTTACCTGCTGGTGCTCCAGCTGGTCCTTGCTCTGCCGGATGATGTTGCCTTTTTCCAGCAGCTCCTTCTGGGTCTTCTCAAACTCCTCCTTGCCCTGCAGGGGCATGACATGGAAGGGGTCAGCAATATCAGCCTTATCAGAGAGAACCCCCACCTGCCCTGGGACATGCCTGGTCCCCACAGCCCTCAAGCTGGAGAGYAAGAGCAGAAAACAGGTGGCAGAAGCAGAGCTGCCTAATGCCCCATCAGGGAGCCACCATCACAAACGCTCCCTGTGGGAAGCAGCCCCCCTACCCATGCCCACCTGGAGATGGACATAGTCGTAATCCTCCATCCAGCCGCTCTCGCTGTTTTCGTAGGGCCCATCTGGTGATTCCTGGGCCAGCAGCTTTGGAGGGGAGGGCAGGGGCCGTGACTGGATACTGCTCGCTTTGTCAGAGGGGTGAGTGGACCCATGGCCACCACTCTCCCCCACTGGCTTTGTCCGTTTGAAGAGGAGGGAGGCATTGCCATGCAGGAAGGAAGCCAACTGCTTGGTGTCATCAGGAACACCACGTGAGTGCATGATGAAGTGCTCCAAGTCATCCGTGCCTGGCTTGCTGCTGGCCAGAGCACTGGGGGCCCAGTGGCAAGCGTCCAGCGCTTGGCCGTGCCGTGCCAGGGCCTGGTACACCTCCTCCATCTTCTGTAGCTGCTTGCTGAGCTTGGTGTAGAGGGAGCGGTCAGAGGCCTGAGCAGCATTGCCCACTGCCCCCCGGGCAAACTCCAGCAGGTCCCGGAGGGCTGTCCGGACACCCTCGGCTGCCCCACGGATGTTGGCAGCATTGGCCTCCATGTGCTCGAGGCTGCGCCAGTTGGTGCTGATAAAGGACATGAGGTAGGAGACAGCGCTGCTGACACCGCTCTGGAGCTTGGCCAGTGTCTCCATGGCGGCATCCAAGTCCAGGGAGAACTCCTTGCCGGCTCCTTTGGCCGGCTCCTTCACAGGCACCACGTCCAGCGACGATGTGGAGATGTTGCTGCGGGTGCTGCCTGTGCTGGAGGCTGAGAGGCGCTTGGCATCAGCGCCCTTGGCCTCGCGGTCCACTTGTGGTGGGACGTCGTAGATGTACTCGCCCTCAGTGTCCACAGAGCCCTTGCCTGGGGCATGCAGGTCCCGGGGCACATCGTACACCTCTTGGGAGGGGAAGGTGGATCCCCCCAGCTTCTTGAGGCTGGGAGGCACATCGTAGATCTCATGGGAGAGTGGCAGCTCAGGAGCACCTTTCCCAGCTGCCGGTGGCACATCATAGACATCCTCCGGCAAGTAGGGCTCCTGCTGGGCCAGGATGAGGGGGTGGCGGGACGAGTCGAAGGTTTTCTGCTTGGCAAAGGCGGGAGGCACGTCGTAGGTCTCCTCCCGCGCTGGGCCATCCGGCACGTCCTTGCTGACTGAGGGGGGGACATCGTACACCTGCAAGGACAGAGCAGTGGCACCATCAGCACTGCTGGGAGAGCTGGCCTGCACAGGCACAGGCCGGCTGCCCCAAGCTGCAGCACACACAAGTGGCAGCACTGGCCATCCAAAACAGTGCTGGGTGGGCACTGGAATGAAGCTGTGCACCCCAGGAGYTACACTGCCCTTTGGGACAGGAATCACAAAATCCTAGAGCAGCCAAGGTCAGAAGGGACTTCGAAAGATCATYCGGTCCAACCTCATCCCCGGGATGTTACATTCAACAAGCTGTTCCTTGGCATCTTGAAAGCCTCCAGTGCCAGGGACATCATWATGTCTCTGCAGAGACTGATCCAGTAAATTATTTTTCTTCATAAAAAAATCTGTTTGTCTTTCTTACACAGAGAAGCTGGGAGCTTCCCAGCTGCACTTACAGTTTGGTGCAGGTTCTTCTCCACACTGGGGGGCACATCATAGATCTCCTGGCCTGGGTCCTGCCCGTTRGGACCCTTCACTGCCATTGGAGGGGTGTCATAGACCTTGAGAGGGAGAGAAATGGGACAATGTGTCACAGATAGTGTGTGCAACCATCTCCTCCCAGGGACCAGCTGGGAAGGATAGAGGTGCTCAGATGCAGCACCGAGGTCCATAAAGTACAGARTTTTGGGTGCAATTTGGTCTGGTTTGGATCCCAGGCTGTGACAGATCATCTCCCATTCTGAAGGGCAGAACCAGAGATTCCCCCCTGACCCCAAGCAGCCTCACCTCCTGGCTGAACTGGCTYGGGACCCCTCCTCGGACAGGSGGCACATCATAGATCTCCTGGGAGCCTGTGGAGACGAGGTGGCGAGGGAAATCGTACTCAACCTGCTCAGCCTTGGGAGAGTCATAGACATACACCTGCCCCACACGGGTGGGCACCAGCACCTGGAAACAGAACAGACATGATGTGGGCACTGCCGAGCATCTCTTACCCTGCATCATCCCCCCAAAACCCAGCAATGGGGCCCAARAGAGCACGGCTGCCGGATTCCGTACAGGACTGCCTGGAATTAGGGTCTGCCCGGTGCCACGGGAGGGCGCTCCCCGGCCGGGCGTGCAGCGATGCCGGGGACGGGATGATATCACCGGTTATTTATAGCGGCGATAGAGTCTCAGCGAGAGACAAAGCCCGGCCGGCACGGCCGTGGCGTGCAGAAAGCAGCGGCCGATCCGGGCACCCAGGCGTGGGCAGGGATTTGCCAACGCCTGGAGATCCCTGCCCATGGCTCCATGCCCAAATAGGTCATTTCATGGTGACACCAGAGCGGAAAATAACCAAACCCAGAGGGTGATGGCACCCTGCCCAACCAGTGCCAAGGGCTGAGGTGTTGGGCTGGTTCTTTCTTTCAGGATGTTCCTTTTGCCCTGGCTGTGATTTGGCAGCTCCCTCCCCTCACTGGCTGCTTCCCAGGGGTATGAGTTGGAGTAGCCTGCCCAGAAAACACGATACTGAAAGCATCTCACTCCTCTTCCCGGGGATGACGTGCCAGGGAAGGGGCAGAGCTAGGAGGTGGCTGGTGTCCGGGATGCAGCCGTTAGGCTCCATGCTGGGGCCAGACTGGTGGCTCACCCTTGCCTCACCAGTATATCCAGCAAGTACTGGCARGCTGCCTGGCACAGTCGGGAAATGCTGGCACTGCCTGTCTGCTCCTGTGCGCGCTCCCAGGAGGAACGAAACCTCACAGCATTGTGGCGGTGCCACAGCTACTTCCACAGTGCCAGAACTTGGCATCCCAAAGCAGCTCGTGGGTTACCAACACCTTGTGCCTATAGCAGACACGCTTCCACGCCCTGGGTGGCACCGGCACAGCCCACACAACAGACCATGGAGACCAGAGTGCTGAATGCTGTGCCAGCCCCAAGAGAGGTAGCCCATGCCAGCCGGGGCACCACAGCCACTGCAAGGACTCTCCCAGTGCACCCACTCCTGCCAGCAGTGCGGCAAGAATGCCCATAGCAATGGGCACATGGGCTGCCTGCTCCAAGAGTGGCAAGCTGAGAAGTCCAATTCCTGCCAGCCACTCACACCCATGGATCCCACAGAGCACCCCACAACACCCCCCCACTCCAGTCTCCATGTCCTACCTTTCCCTGGGGCTTGTGCCCCTCCCAGCTCCTCATGTCCAATGACGGTGGCACCTGGTAGATTTCTTGAGCCTGACCAGCTGAGGGAGGAACCTGATAGACATCTTGGGGGGGACTGGCAGAGCCYCCAGGGTACGCCTCTGCTGCTTGGCCCAGGGAAGGGGGCACCTGGTAGATCTCCTGGCTGGAGTTGGGAAAGCTGTGGGAAGGCGTCTGCTTCGGGTAGGTGGGAGGTTGCTTAGCTGGGGCAGGAGGAAACTGTCCAGTGGGTGCCGAGCCTGGGTACAGACCCTGTTGTCCCTTGTTGGGGACCGGCATCAGGTAGACGTTGTCCCCTTGGGGGCCATAAGAAGGGTGCATGGGTGTGTACTGCGAGGCAGGCGACAGCGGAGTGTAGCCCCCTTGATGGTGGAAGGGCAGAGCCGGCTGGGGCACCGATGGTTGCGGAGGTGCCTGCCCCTGTGCCGGGCCAGGTGCTTGCTGCTGCTGCTTCTTGTCGTACATCCCCACCAGGATCTTGAGGCGGTTCCCGGGAACGATGCCCTGCCGGCCATGGAGCGAACAGAGCCACCAGCCGTCCAGCCCCTGCGTGTTGCGCTCCAGCACCGTCATGATGTCGCCCTTGCGGAAGGAGAGCTCGTCCGGGGACTCGGCCACGTTGTCGTAGAGCGCCTTGGCCAGCACGTTCTGGAAGAGAGCCCCGCGCCGGGGCGGTGAGCCGGACTCCGGCGGCCGGTGAGGCGTCATCCCGGCGGGCGACAGCGGGAAGGCAGCTCAGCACCGGGACGGAGCCCCGCGGGCCGGCGGCTTCGCCGAGCAGCTCCCGCCAGCTGGATCTCCCCGCTCCAGCCGCCGCGGGATTCCCCACTGGAGCAAAACCCACCCTCCCCAGAGGTGGTGCTGGGAAGGGGCCGGGCCCTTCCGCCTCCCCGGTTTCGGGGGGCCTCCTCTGCCTCTCCCGCCCCTTTCTCTCCACCGACTGGGAGGAAGTGCCGGGGCGGTGAGTCAGCCGTGGCCGTGGCCATCCCCGCGACACCATCGCCGGACCGGGCCCCTTCCACCCCGCGGGGTCCCGGAGCCGGGTCACGGCGGCACCTGCCAGCGCTACCCAGGGCTGTGGCGGCGGGACAGATCGCGGCCCGCCCGGGACGGCGGGGCCGGACCCCGGGCTCTCCCGCGGCCCTGCCCGACCGCCGGTGCCGCCCCGCCCGGTGCGGAGGGGGGCGGCGGCCTGGGGAGGCCCCTGGCCCCGGTGGGCCCCCCGAGGATCCCGCAGCGCCATGACCCGCCGGGAGGAAGGGAGGGCAGGCAAGGCCTGGCCGCCCGGTGCGGGGGAGGTTCGGCCAAGGTCACGCCAGTGGGATCGGCCGCACGGGAGAGGCCCTGCCCGGGTCGGGCGGTGAGAGGGCTGCGGCCTTCCTCCTTGTCCTMCTCCTCCTCGAAGAGGAGCCCCCCAGCACCCGTTCCCCCGCGCCCTGCCTGTCTCCGCACACGCCCCCGTGCCCTCCCCCGCGCCCCCGCTCACCAGGTAGTTCATCTTCCCGCGGGGCCGCTCCGGCCGCGGCGGGGGTGGCGG